CCCCCAAAACCCCAAAACCCCAAAACCCCTTCCGGTTTATTAAAAATTGAATTATAAAATGTGGAGAAAGACTTTCTTTTGCTGGCCTTTATTATCCGGAGTTAAAACAGTTGCTTTCTTTGATATAGCAAGGATAATAATATCAACTCTTTTCCTAATGTTAGTATTTATATTCGATAAAGATGGAGCTCCACCTATCCTTCTAGCACTTCTGGAGCTATTACTAGTAGATGTGCCCAGAGGTATCTGAGGTATTTGGATATCAAAGAAGAAGTACTCCCAAAATATTGCTAAATACTACTCATTCATACGCCTAGGTAATATCTCTGGTTAAATAATTTCAGAATGTGCTGTAGATTTTCCTTGCATCATGATAGAATACCTAGAATGTAAACTTAGTGTAAATTTTATTGAAAATCTCTCAAAAATTTTGCTTGGCTATTCTTTAGTGTAACCACACTTTAGCCAATCCTAGTTTTGCCAGCACTGCCAATCAATTTTCTGATAAAATTTTTTGTCTTCTGCATATGGACTTCTCTTAACCAATCTATAGGCACAATGGTGTGAGTAGCGATCTTCAATATTTTGGAAATAGTTGAAGAAACAAGCAATTATGATAAAAATGGACATTCTTCTAAACCCAAGAGAGGGAGAAGAGGGTCGAAAGGATCAGTTATCTTCTTTGGCGTCTTCTTCTTGGTAGGGAATGTCTTGATAGACCTTTTCTTTTCCCATGTGCTTTATAGTTATTTCAAGAATGGGAATCGATATGATCCTGAGAGGAGGGATTTGGAAGCTCAAAATATGCCACATTTACAGAATGGAGGAGCTCTAGTTCAACATAATGGATTTTATCCTGGCTCAAGAGCAGGGAGTGGTCTTGGGCAAGCCCGAAATTCAGGGCTTACTCATCACCCTGGAGGAATCCGAGCTGATGGACTATTTGGCAACCTCCAAAGCAATGCTCAGAATCGAAGTAGCCCAATAAAAGATTCTAGGAATATCAGGGCTAACCCCAACACAAGGAGTGAAAGAATTAATGACCTTGATGACTCCACACAGCAGTTTGGAAGAGAAGACAATATCAGGATTGATAATATCCAACTAGAACTTAACGAAAATCCTCTAAGGAATCCCACCCCAGATGAAAAGACAAGAGGTAGAGGCAATGGTCAGATATAGTAAGAATCTTCATTTCTTGAAGCTTATTCGATAAATTCATAACATCAATATTACCTTGAGCAAATGGGGTTTTGGGGTTTTGGGGTTTTGGGGTTTTGGGGTTTTGGGG